GAATAATTTCAATCCGTATAACAATTTATCAAGTTTAAACGACATACTCTCTTTACCAGTAATCTTGAATCATTTAGATTGAGTTATGTAAATTTCATTCTCCAAGTTATCATGTAAAAACATAATGTCTACATCCATTTGAACTAGTTCTATATCAAATTGTGGTTTCAAAACTAACAAACTTGTAATGGAGGAATGCTTCGCCACTAGAGAAAACACTTTAATATAATCAATTTTCTCTGTATGGGTATACTTTTTTGACATGAATCTTGTCTTGTAATGAACAACATACTTATCAACTTTCATGTTTAATTTTTCTCAAGAAATTGTGTTTTTTCTTTCATTATTTATCTCTATTTATCTTTTATGGGACTATATGTTGCTTTTTGATAACTTGTAGGAAGTTCATCATTGGCAATTTCAAGTATACAATCCATTTTAGCATGAGATACTGAAACGCGATAATGAGTATGTTTTTGGGCATTTTGCTTTGGACTATTCAAGATAATAGATTCTTGTTGCTTCACAGGTTCTCGAATAAAAACCTATTCTTCATTTGACTCCTTGTTTAGTGAAGGAGTATTCCTATTCATTGTTGGATCAACTATTCTTCTTTCAAACTCTATTTACTTTGGAGTATACTCCTACTATATATTACCTTTTATTTATTGAGGAGTACTACCCGATAACTCAATATTTATCATATTTTTTAACGAAGTAGATCGTCAAAATTAATATCTCTATTGAAAATAATTTTTTTATTTTGAACACCGTAGACAATATCTCTTTGCTCCATTAATAATCACCATAAACATTAATTCCTTTGCTCTTGGATCAAACTTTAATTTATTGACATGGAATTACATAGTGGAACTAAACACATGTAAGGAATCATAATCTTTAGTACATTCACTATACTAAACTTCCAACAATGTTTAAGCATACTAGTTATGATCATAGTTAGAACCATCTATCAAATCTAGTATTGTATAACATACATCAAACTTTTTAAAAAACTCTAATTCAAGCATTCTACCACCCCATTTTGTTGTAGTATTTTTTTATTGAAAAATGCTGATAATACCTTTATCTTTGTAAACTTTCATGAACATATCACTTTTGTACTCTCCACCATTATTTGTTCAAATAAATTTGATCATTTTACCATTTTGAGTATCTATCGTCCTTTTTAATTGAGGAAAACTCCATATACTTCATCTTTGAACTTTTGAGTGTATGTCATACTCTTCGAGAAAAGTCATTAGGGAAGTGTATATAATAGTATTTCTTCCCTAAAGAAGCTATCTTGGAAGGTCCCTATATATTAGAGTGAACCAAAATATCTTTGGTATTATGGATCATAATATCAAACTCTAAAACTTGTTTGCTTTCTTTTGACATATTGTTGATAAAGTCCAATTTGCCAATGCGAACTCCTTTTAGGTCCACCAAGATTTCTAGTGATTTACTTGTATGCCCAAGTTCATATGTCATAACCTTGTTATTTCTAACTCATAACCTTCACTTATTGTTGCCTTAGGGATTGCAACACCATCCTAAAAATATAAATTGTTGTTTTTCTATCTTTTTTGAATGCTACAAGTGAACCCAAAATGATCCTCATCGCTCCATTTTATGGCCACAAAAAACCCCTTTGATTTTAAGATTCATACATAAATGAGATTCTTGATCAAGCTTGACATATATCTGACTTCTATCAAAATTTTGATTGATCCATCATGATTCCTTAAATAAATCGAACTAATCCCTTTTGTGGCACAATGGTTGTCATTTGTTATATAAAATAACTCCATCATCCAATTCTTTAAAGTCCATAAATCAATCTCTATTGGGATATATATATATATATAT